CTAGCTAAAGCATCCCCCAGGACATGTATACCTTCAATAACAGAATGTAAGGTTTGGAAGGGGCTGAGTGCATATCTTTCAAACCCTACATTCTATTACTGAAGGTATACATGTCCTGGGGGATGCTTTAGCTAGAGGTGTGATAGTGCCCTGGGGCAAGCTAAACCAATGTAAGGCCTAGACTGTAAGTATGGTTAAAGTGGTATAACTGCCCCTAGTGTGAAGGTAGTTATACCAATATGAAAGTGCTTATAACTGGTATAATGTATTCCCATAAGAGAAGGGGAATGAGGTATACCACTATAAATGGACTTGAAAGGATTAGATTTTTATCAGTAAATGTCAGTAAACGTGTTCACCAGTCACAGATCCACAGGATCTGTGCTACGCTCCCACTTTTAAACAGTCTGTTGGAGGAACCCTTCAGTGTGCAGACACCCAGGGGTCATACTCTTCCTTAAGGGTAGGGCAGGTGGCCTCAAAGCTACCAAGACTGAGCATCTGGGCTCCAGCACTCCTGTTTTACACTGTGAGCTCTGCCCAGAGTGTCCAACTGAAACAGACTTCTGGACAGAGACTTCTACACTCTTCAGGGACCAATGCACCTCAGTGAGTATCTGCAGTGATACCAGGCAGCCTTTTCAAAACAGAATAGAATTTGTTAGTCAATTGGAACACAGCAGCGAAAAGTCCTCACAGCCAATCAGAGCTGCCCGGGCAGGGGGACCCAGCTCCAGGGCCAGCAGAGTCCTCAGGGAGCAGCACCCGTAGGGACAGGACCCAGGAGTCCAGGCTGGAGCAGGTCAGTCCAGGCTGCTGTGAGGAGTCCCAGACCCTCCCCCTGCCTTTCGCGGCATAACCTGATGGACGGGGACATGGGCTGGGGGCTGCTCTTGGGCCCCCCGGCCAGGCTTATTTTTCCGCTGCTGCTGGAGCTGGGCACCCGACCAGCAGCCACTGCTCTCTCCACTCTGCCTTCAGAGCTGGACAGCTGGAGAGCAACAGCTGCTACAGGGTGGCTATGGGGGGGAGGTGTGCTAAGACAAATTTTGGGGTAGCTATAGCCCCTGCCCCCACCCCTCCCCAGAACCGCTCCTGAGCAAAGGTCAACACATAGTTCATCCTGGCCAAGCCAGCGTTCCACCCAGCCAAGGTGCTATACAATCCATTTTGACTCTCTCCCTATTGCTCTTTGTCAGTCCCAAGTGAGAGCTGCTGAGTTGCTCCAAAAGCCAGCTCTTAACCCAGCCACCTGATGCCTTTCAGCCCACTTCATTCTACAGGGCCACAGTGGGTTCATGTGCTCCACCTGCTTGACGGAGTTTCCCATTGTTAGGTGTAAACTGTTCAGTCCTTGGGGCTCCATTGTCTTTCCTGATCCTCCATTGATATGGGTCAGTTTCAGCCAGTCCTCTAATGACCCATTCATATCACTCCAGATGGTTCTGTGACGCACACTCTCGCCCCTCAGGTCTCCAGCTCTGCCCAAGAGCAGCTTTTTAACCCTTTGGCACCCAATGGATAGCAATCTCTATTCAAGTTACTACTGGCAGGCATATTATTCATTAAAATATTATTAAAAATTCCCACTGCGTCACATCTCTTCCCCCTTTGAGAGCAAACTGAGTGGGGTCACTTTAGCCAGTGACCTAGGGAAGTTTGAACCCACAATCATTATTCATAGATGTTACAGCAGGGGTCGGCAACGTTTGGCACGCGGCTTGCCAGGGTAAGCACCCTAGCGGGCCGGGCCAGTTTATTTACCAGCTGACGTGGCAGGTTTGGCCGATCACGGCCCCCACTGGCCGCGGTTCGCCGTCCCGGGCCAATGGGGGCGGCGGGAAGCCGCAGCCAGCACATCCCTTGCCTGCGCCGTTTCCCGCCGCCCCCATTGGCCCGGGACGGCGAACCGCGGCGAGTGGGGGCCGCAATTGGCCGAACCTGACGCGTCAGCAGATAAATAAACTGGCCGGGCCCGCCAGGGTGCTTACCCTGGCGAGCCGCGTGCCAAACGTTGCCAACCCCTGTGTTACAGCATAGATCCCATCCACTTGGTAGCTCTCCTACGGGGCACTTTCCAGATTCTTACGGACAGCACAGTTTCCATAGCACAGTACAGAGCAGTTTCACATCCTCCCCTTAGGACTTGTCTGATAGATGACACTAGCAGGGTGCACATGGGGAGTTTTATGCATCCATCTGCTCTTTTGCCATCCCAAAACCTTTAGCTTTGAAACTGGAATGGGATCCTGCCATCACCTCCTCCCACTCACCTTCCAGGGGGTGAGGAGGGCAGTGATCCCACATTCCTCCATGTGTCAGCCATCTTGGCTGCAGCCTGGGGTGTCCTTACCTCTAGGCTGGGGAAGTGACCCCCCCCTTGAGCATTTGGGGGGATCCAGGTAGGTATTCACCTCAAAAGCTCATCTTAACCCAGCCATACTTCTGGAGCTCTGGAGAGGCAGGGTAACACAGTGCTCCCCAGCACTGACAGACCCCGCCACTGGAGTTGGGTCTTCACCCCAGGACTGTGCATATGGGAGGAACACATTTCCCCTTTTGGGATCAACCTGTTGCCTCCTCCCCACTCCTTGTGGGCAGTGATTTGGGGATCTCTTGGTTAAGAGAACCCACCATGTCTATGGCCACCACATGACAAGATGCTTCTTTTACTAGCAGCGGTATTCTGGCTGCTTTACTTTTCTCGGGGGCTTCTCTCATGCCATGACAGGGCATGTCCTCCTTCTCTGCACGTGTCTCCTTGTGCTCCGCTCTGCCTCTGCTTCCCTGTAAGGATAGGCAGTGAGCTTGTGCCTTTGGTCATAGCACTGGGCTCGGGGGGGGGGGGGGTTACTCCTTAGCTAGTGTGACTCATACCTCCTGTGTGGAGATGGGTGAGGGCTCTTCCTCCCACCACCCCACTCAGTTTTAGGTGTGTGCTTACAGACAGGAAGGTGCCCTGAGCTTAACAGCCTTTTCCTTGTGTTACTGCAAAGGGAGAAAACCCCTCCTGCTCCCTGCCAGCCACTGTATTTGCATTTTGGCTAACACCTGTCACAGCCCTCTGGCTCCCTGTTACCACCTGGTTCAAGCCCTTGGCTGTTACAAGAAGAGTCACTGGGTTTTGTCTTAAAGTGATACAGTCATTCCTAAGGAGGATGTCAAAGGCGAGATCATGAAGAACCCTGCTGCCAATCTGTGTCTGTACAGGGATGCAAGCTGTAGGCAGGGCACATGGCTTCACATTTGGAACCTTAACACAAGTTGTACATCCATACAGCGCTTGATGGAGTTTTACCACACAGGGTTTGACAAGAGTTCTCTGCCCCAGAATCTCTCCACTGGATGAATATGTCCCCAATAACTATCACCTATCCTCCAAAGCACTTACAATCCCTCCCAGCTTGGTATCATCTGCAAACTTTATAAGTATACTCTCTAAGCCATTATCTAAGACCCTGATGAAGATATTGAACAGAACCAGACCCAGAACTGATCTCTGAGGGGTGTCACACATTTGGTGTTTTGCGGACCAGAAACCTTTTCCTATGAGCCTCAGGTGTCAATTCAAGCTTAATCAGTAGAGCCTTTTTGAACTGTTCATAGTCCCCAGTATCATCAACTCCATCCATCTGGCTATATGCCTCTATTACCTTGGGACCGAGTAAGGGGGTGACGACAGTGGTGCCGGTCCATGGGATCAACCTAGTTCAAACTGCAAGCCTTCTCAAAGGCAGTGAGATAGTCATCTATATCCCTCCCACACCTTACATTGGGGCCACAGTTTGGTACGTAGGCTTCCCCTGGTCTCGCCAATCAGTGCAACATCACACCTTTAGTTAAACAAGTACAGCTTTTCATTTAGACCAAGCCCACATGGATAATGCTTTGCATCCAGTCTCCTCCCATCCCGAGGATAATGTAAAAAAAAGCTAAATGGATGATGTTTCTCCCCTAAATTTTCAAAAATAAACATTTCTCCAGTTTGTCCAGGCCAAGGCACCAAACATCCCGAAGGCCATGTGACCAGCTGCATGAATTCAGAACTGCCCTTGGCAGAGAACTATAAGGCGGTCAGTCCCTAGCCTTGGGAATCACTTTCCTTCCCATGTCAGAGCAGTTACAATGACTGGTGCCAGCAGCAAGGTCCCTGCTTCCTAGGCCCTACAGTGGGGCTCAGGGGAGGCCTTAGAGGGTATGTCTACACTACACTACATTGTAATTCCAGGTCTATGGGACCTGGGCTTGCAGACTCACTATTTCCAAGCCCGGGCTTGAGCACCCACACTACCCTGTAAACCTGTGTTTACCCCTGAGTCTGATGTGCTAACACATCCACACGGCACTATGCAGCCCTTCTAACTCGAGCCTGTAGCTTGAGCGGCATCCACACAGCAAAACAACAGGGCTGGTACACCTAAATCACAACAAGCCTGGGGCCCTGACCCACCCCCGCGGCAGCCAGGGCCTGAGTGCTGGCTGACCCGAGTCAGACTGAGGTGTGCCCCAACGGAAGGCGGCTTGGGCTCAGCCCTGGGCAGAGGGGCGCAGTGTGGACAGACCCAGGAGGGAGGAGAGGAGTTGGGCGGGTGAGGAGAGGGCCGGGAGCAATGGGCTGCGGGAGGGAAGCGACTGGCGGCCGGGAAGCCCCGCGGGCGGTGCGGCAGGGCGGTGTACTGGGAGGACCGGGCGGCGGCCTCTCCCCAGCCCCGAGGCCGGAGCCGTCCTCGCTTCCCCCGCCGCCCCGCGCGGGTCTCCGGCTCCTCCCCGCCAGGCGGGGCCGGGGAGCGCAGGGAGATGATGTCAGCTCCGAGCCGGGCCGGGAGCGATGGTGCCGGGGCAGTGAGGGAGGAAGCCGGTCGCCGAGCAGTCAGGGGACCGAGCAGGGGGACGCGGCAGGCGGGCGAGCCCGCAGCGAGACGGAGCCGGCCCCGGTCTCCGCGGTGGCCCTGGCGGGCGGCGGGGACTCGACCCCGGGCGGCGGCGGCGGCGGCGGCGGCATGTCGGGCCAGAGCGCGGTGAGCGACCCCCAGCACGCCGCCCGCCTGCTGCGGGCCCTCAGCTCCTTCCGCGAGGAGAGCCGCTTCTGCGACGCGCACCTGGTGCTGGAGGGCGAGGAGATCCCCGTGCAGAAGAACATCCTGGCGGCCGCCAGCCCCTACATCAGGTGAGGGGGCTCCCGGGGCGGGCCGGGGTGCGGGGCGCGTTGACAAGGCCGGGAGCGGGGTCCCGGGGCGCGGGGCCCTGGCGTGTTGGGGAGGGAAAGGGGCAGCGCCGAGGCGGCTGCAGAACATGGGCGCTCACGCCCTGACTCCGCGTCAAGACCCTCAGCTCCCTAGAGGCACCTGCCCACGGCCCCCATCGGCGGAGGCCGGTGAGCCCGTTGCCCTGCGGGAAGGGCGGCAGGCACCAGGGGCCGTGCAAAGCTCAGGTTCTTCTCCCCGGAAAGTAAGTTCAGCCCAGTGCGCCAGCCTTGCCGTGCCTGGGCACTTGCTGTGAGTGTGATGGCTCTGCCAGTTCCCCGCCCAGCCCATCTAGTCCTAGGAAGCCGCCAGTACATGGATACAGGAAGCCTGGGTTTTGTTTTGTTTACCAACATTATTTATTTAAGTGCCTATCAACTTGTTTCCATTACAAGCTGGCAAACAGGATCTCAGCTGGGGAGAGAAATGTTTATTTTTGAAAATTAAGGGGAGAAACATCATGCGTTTAGCTTTTTCCCAAGAGGAAATAATTAGACGGTAGGGTTTTTGTGTGTGTGTGTACTTGTGGTCATATAACTTAAAACAAAAAAGCTTTTGTTTTTAAGGAGGAAATCTAATTGCCCTTGGTATTTTGGAGACAAGTTGTAAACAGCTGAGATGGAAGTTTCACAATCTGCTGTATAGATATGCTGTCAGTGACATCTAAGGCTTTTAATACTTTCCCGAGTGTGTACTTCTACCCTTCCAAAGAAAGAGCTGCTACAGTCTAGCGATCAAAACACACAAAAATATGCTTTATAAAAGAAAAGTTTAACTTTACCAATTCTGCAATTCAAGCTGATTAAAATTATGTAACTGAGTGTTTGTAGAATGATCTGAAATGCCTGTGGAGGAAAAATGATATTCTCTTGCATTAACTTATGCCTTTATTATGAGGTTATTTGTTTGTTAAACAGAAAATGTCCCAAACTATTACACTCTGAATACATTTCCCAGACCTGAAAAAGAGCTCTGTGTAAGCTGTAGATCTTGTCTCATATCAACAGAAATTGGTCCAATAAAAGATAGTACCTCATCCACTTTGTCTCTTCCAAACTACTTAGGCAATATTAAGGGCATGATTTAAACCAACAAGCCAGGAAAACAGAAGTTAATACTGAGTGGTAGGGAGATTATGAAACTAGAGGACACTGTTTCAGTATGGTTTGTTGTTCTCAATAGTATGTACTTTGTATAGTGCTCTCAGAGCAATGCACATATGTTGAGTAATTTCATCTTTATAAATGATGGGTTTATTGTCTGTCAGATGCCCTAAACAAAGTCAGCACTCTAGGATTGGTTATTTGCTTTTTGTAAATTCATGTGACAGTTTGGCTCTTCCAGAGTTTGTAAACTAGTCATTATCCTGCTTCACTCTTGATTTAAAGATTTTTTTTTTAAAAGCTTGATTCAGTATTAAATGTATTGCCTGTGTCACAGATGATGTCAGATGTTTTATTTCTGGCAATATGTAAGCTTCCAGCAGACACTTATTGGATCTGAAATACACCTATTTTAACTTTAAAACTTAAACACAGTATAAATGGGCTGCTTCTTTCTTTGTACAAAATTTTGCAGTTCTCTTATCCTAACAATATAATGGAATGTTCTTTGGATCTCACCAGATATACCATAGCCTAGTCTGCACTGGGAAAACTGGCTGTTGTTGGCAATGGGTGTCAGCAACAGGTACAACCAAAACTGTGGTGAACACAGTTTAACTGCAGTGTAGGACAGGACAGACAATAGTCAACACAATCCTGGTTTCTGAATTGGTGCTGAACAGTTTGTTCTCGAATGTGCTCACAATTAAACCATAATTACACTGGGTTCAGGTGCAGCCATTGCTAGCAATGGGAAACTTTCCTAGTGTAGTCAAAGCTTAAGAATCCAATGATGTGACAATTTTGCCTTTGATGGCAGGATATTTACAGTACATGGCAGTGTGTGACTGAGAGTACATGAACTAAAAATGATTATTTTTTAAACATTTTAAAGGATTGTTCCACTGTTAGCAGGTGGCAAATGTTTAATTCTCTCCTTGTACCTGAAGAGGCAGTATATGGCCGAGTATTATTAAAGTAAATCCCAAATGATGGCAGGCCTCTTTTAATATTTGGGTACTTGCTCAGATCCACTCCAGTTGTATTTGCCTATAAAAGATGCTATGAACATCTGCATAGATTGGGCTAGATGTAGATGACATGTGCAGTTGAGTACTTTCTGGGAAGTACATGCGTGATGGTTGCTTGAACGTAATCAATCAGGCAATACTACTTGGTTCTAGGCTTCAGTTTAATTTAGTCCAAGTTTACAAACTGTTTGAAGTCGTTACACATAAATGAACCCACACTCACTGAAGATGAGCATCTTGGAACAATGCTGTGCATCACATATTGTACATGTCAGAACTTTACTAAATGCCTAAGGGAGACTACGTGCATCAGCCCTCGGAATTAAGGGCATGTCTTTGCTGCCCCACAGTTCGGACTATAGAGATGTGAATAGCAATGTGCACCAATGTGCTGCATGTTAACATAGTCCTATTCAAACAGGGCTATGTTAATGTGAACTAGGAACCTTTTGATGTGTGCCTGCTGCATCCACATGGGGGAGTTACAGTGCAGCACTTTGGTGCTGACTGCTATTTACACCCCTGTAGACCAAACTGTGGGGCAGTGTAGACATGCCTTAAAATACATTGTTTTATTTGGGTTAAGGAAAAATGCATTCTAGAAATTGACAGGTTTCAGAGTAGCAGCCGTGTGAGTCTGTATCCGCAAAAAGAACAGGAGTACTTGTGGCACCTTAGAGACTAACAAATTTATTAGAGCATAAGCTTTCGTGGGCTACAGCCCACTTCTTCGGATGCATATAGAATGGAACATAGTAAGGAGATATATATATACACACACATACAGAGAGCATGAACAGGTGGGAGTTGTCTTACCAACTCTGAGAGGCCAATTAAGTAAGTGGAAAAAAAACTTTTGAAGTGATAATCAAGATAGCCCAGTACAGACAGTTTGATAAGAAGTGTGAGAATACTTACAAGGGGAGATAGATTCAATGTTTGTAATGGCTCAGCCATTCCCAGTCCTTATTCAATCCTAAATTGATTGTATCTAGTTTGCATATCAATTCCAGCTCAGCAGTCTCTCGTTGGAATCTGTTTTTGAAGTTTTTCTGTTGTAAGATAGCCACCCGCAGGTCTGTCATTGAATGACCAGATGTGGTTAAAGTGTTCTCCCACTGGTTTTTGAGTATTATGATTCCTGATGTCAGAGTTGTGTCCATTAATTCTTTTGCGTAGAGACTGTCCGGTACATTGACAGTCTCTACGCAAAGGCTAATCATAGAAATGAGTTTGAAATCAGTGTGAGTAATGTGGGTAGGATTTGGCCCAATATTTTAAATGCCTTGTTGCCAACTGAATATTTCTTAGAATTACTCATTTTTGTTAGTATTTTAGATAGTTCCCAGTTGGATTTGAAGTTAATGCCTTACTGAGGTTATTAGGCTGCCAAGAGGGGTTTAGAGAGATCATATTCTTGCAGGGCTGGTTTAACTAGGGTAACAGTGTATCTATTTACATTAAGTAGGCTACTTTTGCAATTGAAAAGCCCATACTTCTTTTTAACTAAAAGATTAGAGTTATTGATTGATACCTTAAGATCAATTTGAGATGCTCTCTATGGAAGAAAAAATTTAATATTCTGCATTTTGAGAGCACATGAACTGCACCCATGGATATGTGCTAGAAGAGTTAAGGTTACTCAAGCACAAATCCCACCTTCACAAGGAACTTGCTAATTAAAAGTAACTTTCATTGACATATCTTAACACTCCAATATCCTGTTTCTCTCAGCTTCCTGTTCTCTTCAGTGAATTCCCTTGGGCTTCCAACATATAACCAACCATAATACAGTTACCAGGTTCCTCCAAACCAAACTCTGAGACACCACTGTAATTTTGCCCCTACCCCCCCCCATCCACTTTTTACCCATGCTGCTCATCTCCCTATTTCCACCCTTCTCCCTGCCTCCTATACTCTTCTCCTTTTCTTATCCCAGCTGTCTAGCCTGACTCCCTGACTTCTCAGGGTCTTTAGTTGAGCAAAACTGGTAAGGCAGGGAACTGGCATTGGAGAACAGAAGTGTCCAGCAGAACTTGACAGTTCAGTAGTTTTTCCTTTCAGATGAAATAGGTCATGGCAACTAAGGGAATTACCTCTTTGAATCTAAAGGTAAAATTTAGGAAGTAGCCTGTGACTGAGATGTTATGGGACTGTGTGTATGTGTGAAATGTAGAATGTTTAAAAGCAAGGCAAAAAACAGCTTAAAAATAATGTGAGGTCATCTTTATGCATCATAAAAGGAGTGGTAAAGTTAAAGCGATTTTATTACTTTACTCTGTAGGTCATCTTTAACTTTTATCTAGGTGCTGTGAACATTAGTCCCATTTATTGTTGTGCAAACCATATTAATTTTTAAATGGTACTGCATTTCTGAGATCTACTTGTTGTTTGCTAAATTTGGTGTCACTGCAAGATATTCTGGAGCTTGAAGTCATCCAACTTAAGCCTAGACTAAGGATTCTAAATGAGGCCTTGTTTGTCTGTCTTGAGAACTCAGTACCAGACACCATCTCCTAGGTCTCAACAATATGGGTTCACTTCACTTCCATGTATAGGTCCCAGTTTAAGGTTTAGAATTAATGAAACTATTCTAGAACCTTACCTTAGCCAGGAAGAAGTGGGTGGGTGGTTACTCTTGGGAAATCAGATTTGTACTTATCCAGTATGTGAGGTGGTACTTTAAATGTAACCAAATTGGGAGGAAGTAGAGATAATCATTAGAGCACAGGAGTCAGACAGGAGTTTTTGTTTCTATTTCTTGCTGTGTCACATGCACTGAAACCTTGG